AGACATCGATCCAGACTGGAAGAAACAGCGAGGTGGGCAGGTTATGACGTGGTGCAGAGGGTTAAAGAGATTGTGCTCGGATCTAACTTCCGTTGGGGTTTCCCGGCTGAGGCCCCAAAAATTCAGATTGTCTTTGGCTGGAGACACTGCGGGATATGACATCGAGCTGAAGTCAATGGCGCAAATGCATCCCTTCCTGTTTGCAATCCCAAAAATAAACGAAAACGAAAAAACCCTCAAAATGGCGTGCAGTAAACAAAAAATTGTTACTCCCCGAAGTTGACTGTTTTATTTTCCCCGCTTTTTTCGTTCACCCCTGGTTATTTGGCGCCGTATGTGTAAAGATTGGTGTCTTATATATATATATATATATATATATATATATATTGAGAATATCACCTCGATTGGTGATGAAACGCTTGCATTATAGTTGCCAACCTCGGCGAACAAACTGAACATCAAGTTATATACTACCCGAGCTGCAAAAGCAACAATCAACACGGTTGCTTACAAAACTGTCATTTATATATAATCTAAGAATTCGTTGCATTCACTTCCCATTGGAAGCACTGTGAATTATTTCTGGTTCATTACGGATTTAATGCGCAAAGGTGTGTTAAAAGCAGCCACAGAGTAAGTACATGATTCAGAAAAACTGGTAGCTTATTTTTAAACCCGGTGTACTGAGTTTTATCTAAAATGAGAATTTTGTGTTTGGGTCGTGTTCAAAGAAGTAGCAATCTATCTGTTAAGCTTTGCTAACAAAGGAATGGCAACACTAGGCTTTTTTCATCATGCATAAAATGCAGATTACCTGTTTTCTGAAGTTCATTTGTGACAAAAGTCCTGTTGGAAGGAACGGGTCCAGTTTTTATTTTACGTAACACCGTTTTGAAATCATCATCAATTGCATCNATCAGTGTCACCAAATTATCCAGTTACTAGCCATCGATTACAAATGCCTTTTACGATAGTTTGTGTGTGTACCGCACACATATACAATTCTCTTCATTTCCTTCTTTCATAATTGCAGAAAAATAAGATTTACAAATGATTATCTGCTCATTGGCGCGGTAAAAGCATCGGGCAATGTCAGACCGGAATCCGTCACCGCCTGCTGAATTGGGTGAGGAGTTGCAGCATGTTGATCAGATCGGAGACACGGCTTATAGCAAATGTTGGCTCTATGCCCTATTAATGAAAGTGCTCAACTTGGTCAAGTCGAATACCACCACGGATGTGGATGAAATCAGAGAACTAGACCAGGAGTTGGAAGAACAATTATGTTGTCTCTGGGATTTGACCGTCAATCGTGATGTTCTACCGCATTTGGAAGATTTTGACTTGGTACCCATTTTTACTGATGTTTTGATCTGCAATCAATATCCACGATTATTGGTGCGCCCAAACAGTCATCATTCTAATCTAGCTTTGTAGGAAATCATTGTGGGAATCTTGGCCAATTTGGCCTACAACCCGAAAGCGTGTCGTCAAATGACGGACAATGAAACGCTAGTGTAAGTTTTCTCTTTTTGAATCAATCCTCATCTTTCTGTTTACAGCAATCGCGTTATTTCGTTATTCTACTCCCGGGACACCCCTACGTTGACGGAAGTATGCAGGTAGATTGCACCCCGTTTTCTTTCATCTGCTTATGTCACGTCCATCTATCGGTTGATTCAAACAATCTTGGCATCAGATGAAGATAGAACCCCATGGATTACCGCCATCCGATTTCAGTCGGATTTTATCGACTGTTTGCATTTCATTCTGAACAACTCCACGCATGGTTCGAAAATCCTTCCAAGAATAAATCAATTCTACTTCTTTTTTCATGTCTAGGTCACTTACTGATAGCTACCATTCGGTTGTTAGATGCAATTACACGCGAAGACGATAGTTTAGCCGAGGTGTGGTGCGGATCAGCACTGCTCAATGCAATTCTGGTAGCTCAGCGTCAAATGAAGTAAGTTTCATTCTCTGCTTCAATCCCGAATTGTGATACTACCACCTCCTCCGGCTTCAGGTGGTTACATGGGAGCGAGGTCGAAGTGATACATCGGGTGCTGTATACGTTCTCTTCTAATGTGAGCGGTGTCTCTGCGCTGAGTAAGTTTGGGGCTATTTCTAACCGAAACGGTTTTCAATGTATTATCCGGACTTTTCCATCAATCAGCCACTCTCCTGTATAGTTTCACCTTCGCAAGTCACCAGTGCGTTCGCTCATATGTTTTCTTCTTTTTAGTATTTTATTTAAAGAAATTCCGCTTTCAGAATACCAAGTTCTATCCTAATCATTGAGTTTGCTTTCCAGTTCATTCTTTTGATCAGTTGTTGCCCACATTTGGCGTTTACCTACGCAAAGTGTGCGAAGATGAGCCGCATTTGATCCCATTCTCTGCCTACTACAATAGTTTGCGCGCTATCATTCCTATCATTGATGCCGTCGCAGCCAGTTTATCTCCGGCTCAGTCCGTCGCTTGTTGTTCAGTTGGTACGTTTCATTCTGTTCCTGCAATTACGGTTCATGGGTATATATGATCATTCGTTTATCATATTGCTTATAGATCAGTAGTGGTTGAGTAGTCTCTATCGATGTCAGCAGTGCTTACATCTGTAAAGTCATCAGTTCGAACCCCACCATCAACATTGGCGATAAATAGATCGTTCGATACAGTGCTATATGTACTTTACTGATAGTTCATGCTGCTCACCAATTACAGTCTCACTTCACTTTTTACCTTTGCATTTTGCATTTTTTTTATTTGGGTGCTTTATTAACAAATGGTAGTGACAGGCATTTTCATTACCGTCGGGCTCAATACCCCGCTTAATCTGGTAGGGCCTTACACAGTTTACCACTCCAAGTTCCGAGTCTTAAGTTGCCGGCTTCCATGGGTACCAGTTGTTCCTGTTTATAGGGTCTAACCCGTCTATTATTTATCACACAAAGATGTGTAATTAAAAAATCAATTGTTAATGTCTGATGCGTTCGTTGTACTTACGAATCTTGGTAGTCTCCCTTCTGTTTTTACTATCCTTTTCCCAATAATACCATGGAGATAATTGGCATGGGATCATAGGTCGATAACAGTTTTTGTAACGCAGAGGACAGCCCACCGCTGCCACCGATTCGTAATACACGGTAGGAGTTTGATTTCAGTTAACAGGATCCGGGTTTCTGGTGCCAATAGCGATGTCAGAATGCCACTAACAAAACCCTGTTTGGGGTGTCGAACTAACTCGTAAATGCGGCCCCGTACAGACACCTGCAATGCACGGATAGGAGACACTTCGGACGACAGGTTCTCCGTGGAAGGGGGATTTCCAAACAACTTGCAAACCAACCATGAACCAAAAGGTCCAGTGAGACATGCACATGACTCTCACTCAATCCAAAATGGTGGTGAAGAGCTCAACGTGCCTAACGTTACAGTTTATTCTAGGGATTATGTTTCACACAAATCTGAGTCCAGAAGAGTGTGCCAAACAAATCACGGCGCAATAATGTTTATAACAGAAAAGGTCTATGAGTGGTATACTGCCAGGCTGCTACATGAGGTCCGCCAAGCTCGTTCGCATGACCTGTTGCACACACTGTCTTTCCCACCTCAGCTCTGTTCCAAACGAATTTTTCCAATGATTTGTTAATAAACTCTCCGAGAACTTTTTTGCCTCCTTTTTCGTGTTGTGATTTATACTATCGGTTTGTTTCACAAGGTGAAAATTATTTGTTTAGAAGTCTCACATTTATAATGGGATATTTTCTTACACATATCGTTTTTTATGTTTTTTCCTCGCTGTCCACCGTTTCTCATTCTCGCGCATCCTACTAAAAGTTTAAAAAATGCGTTAACTAGCTATTATTTGGTCATGTCTACCCGTGTATGTACGAGACTTTCTCTTTACACCAATTAACCAACAGTTTGCTCAAGCATATTCATTGAGCTTGGATTTGCCTTGGTGTGAATCCTGACCGTTTCTAATTTGTTCTTCACTTTAGACACAACTGTCCTACCCTCTTTGGTCCACATCACATTGGGCTGTCAATGTCAGCTTGACGAGTTTCCCCTGGGCCGTGGGATCTTGGCTGACCTAAGCATACTCTTCAAAGATCTAGTCCGGTCGATTCGAGACGCGCTCAAAGTGAGTTCTACTGCTGCTAGTTGTTTGATTGGTGCTGGTTTCACCTGCCCCCCTCCCATTGTATATGACAAGCATGATGTACTACAGTGAAGGGGTAAAACCCACTATTATAAAGAATAGTGCACATTTGGGGTGGGGGAACACTCATCAAAAATGCAATGTGTGGTGCTATCACCGGCAGAAGTATGGACGGATTTAGGAGTTTGAGGCAAAAAGCCATCGATGAAGAGCAAGGAAATTGTAAAACCCCACGAATTCGAAGGAATTACTCTCGAACTGACTCAGCAATTAGAACGCACGTGTCGTATCTAGGTGATGAAGCACGAGAAGAGTTCCGATATGGGAATTTTCCCCAGACGCACGTCAAGCCAAACTCAGTCGAACGCTTTGGAGATATCCGGTGGGGGGACTAGATGTGACTCGCTGTAGTGGTCAGTGTCAATGCCCTTGCTTGTACGCCAACAGAGGCCCAATGTACCTGTGATAGAGTAAACCATTTTGTCAGCCATTGAGATGTTTGTGGTGGTACAAGTGTCAGCAAAGTTGCTTTACCAGCTCTAGTTCTGTGACCATTGCGAGGGAGAGGTGGTGGTACGTAAGTCACAGAAGACACGGCCAACTTTCAAAACAGAGGAAAAGGTTAAGAACGAAGAAAACAGAAAGTAGATGCACGATAATCTAAGCTCTTATCTACTGTTGGGACCTTCTGCGCCTCATATTCTCATGGCTGGGGTGATTCCACCGGAGTGTAAAGGCAGGCAGCTAGTTCGTCTAGAGGGCCCCAGTCTTACTCTGTACATGGCCACTGACTCGATTTGGAGGATGGGTGTTTTGGACACTCTGTATGTGCGACCCCTATCCGAATGGGGTATGATCCAATCAACGAGATAGCAGCCTCCAATGTATCGCAGATACAGGGCACCGCCTTTTGGATCAGAGTATTCTTGTGAGGGCTCGGGTTGAGATACCTCAAGTGAAACTTTCGCCTGGATGGTCGAGTAGCACAAAAGTCGGGAACACTGACATAGTGGAAACAGTCTATTTGTCTATCGTGTTTTGTAATTGTTCTCTTTTTTGTAAAAGCTGATCACTAAAGCACTAATCGTAATAAATATGTTAGAGAGCTAAAGCAAATATCTCCTCTAGGTAATTCATTTCTTGTTGGTTGTCGCTTCTCGCTAATGTCTCAATACGGAGTTTCGAAAATGCATAATGAATCACGCTTCGATAAGTCGCTTGAAAAGCAAATGAGACCAATGGGGGGAGGAGGTATGACGAAATTATTCTAACATTACTCCGAGTCGGCAATTGATTCGTATCTGATGGTGATCATTTTCGGTAAATGGGACGGATGTAGGTTGTTTCTTTTCTATCCCGTTGTCAAAATGACACGGAACGTCGCATACAAACATGTGCATGAACCTTGTTTTCCGTAACTATCAATACGCGCATCGACTCGCGCTGTCATGTGCACTCGACCTGGATGTGTACAATCTAGATGTGAATGTGTGGAAGTCAGCTGATTAATGGGGACCCATGCATACCCTTATCGGTTAGCAGTCTCGGAATTAAACGCCTGTGGTGGCAACCGGCATCCCGTCCTATTTGGTCTATAAGCATTTTGTCCGTTCACGCTCAATATGCCTATCCTATTATAGACTCACATTTTCCTTCGCCAATGTTATACACTATGACTATTTTACTCCGCTTGTGTTGCCTCTAATTCGCATTGTTGGTAGGGGGCAAAGACACCAGCGGTAGCCATACCTGGTGGAGAAAAGGGAAAAGGATGAAATGTTCAACCGAACAACAACATTCGGGTCTGAATAATCTATTTTTCGTGTATGCACATTCATTCCTCGATAAAGCCAGCTCATTATGCACGGGAGATTATCATTTCAACAGTTCACTGCTTGGAGCTAAGGAATAGATAATAATCATGAGGTTTTGATTATATCTTGGCCGGTCATTTGTGACTAGGAAAAGTTATCTTGCACAACTCCTAATCGAAGCAGTACTCACTCAACACGTCCGTAAAAATGGTGATATAATTGCCCTCTACACTGAATAAGCTCTATCTGGTGAGTGCTTTGTTTTCTATTACGATTACTATGATAAGTACGTTGAAGTCATTCTTCGAAGTCAATTTGTTTGTGGCCTTCACATGATACCTTTTTTGTTAAATCTTGTTCCTCTTACTCTTGATTCCACTTTGTCAGAATTTGACCTCTTCATCCGATGATCTTCACACGGCCATTGATCTTTTTGAGCATGATTTGGGTTGGTTACGTGAACTGGACACGTCGACCGACGATGACCACGACCGGGTCGAACGATTACGTCGAGCGTTTATCTTGTGTTGCCTGAACGATAATGACAACGAGACACGGGGCCAACTGGTTTACATATGTAACCGACTGAAGCTTTCACGACTCCTGGAAGAAGTGACCGATGATGATTGATTCCCCTCCCCCTTCCACTCTCGCTTAATCATTCGGATAGATTAACTTCTGTCGTATTGCCTGGTGTATAGAGAAGCTAACTGTTCCTATGGTTTTGAGGAGGGAAATAAACTTTCACTTTTTGTATAAGGATTCGTTCTACTTTCTCCACACACACACACACACACACCATTCGATTTGCATTGTTTCTGATCGAAGACCCCTTTAACCTGTAGGAGAACGGTGTTCTTTTTTCGGGGTGGGGGGGGGTGGGGAGGGCTTTTTAAAACCAATAGTGCTCCTTTCTATTTCGTCTGTGTGCTTGCTTGTCTTTGTTGATCTGCTCTGTTTGCCATTCGTTCGATTGTTCGGATCTCGGGAATAGTGAATCTCGGCCATCGGGATTTACAATCCAACAGGTATTGTTTGGCTTCACATGTGTGTGTGTGTGTGTTACCTCCATTGGACTGGAATATCTTTACCCTGCCGTCCTCCTCTTAAGTGGTCTTAGATCCTGTTATTGATGTGATGATTCACCACTAAGCCAAGCCCATCACTTATCTGTATGTCGAATTTTGTACGAGGTGCTGCTACACCGAACACCTGTTCAAAATATGCGTATAAAAATCCCCCTGCGATGTTAAATTGCTCCATTCATTTGTCCGGTAAATTTCGACTGTTTTCGGTGAGATAGACTGACTTTTAGGTGTCACTGGTTAGGTATCTAATGTTCTCGGTAGACTGATGAAACGACTGTTGCCAGTTTCCCGCGTTAAACCTTCTAAAAACTTCAGTTCCCTCGAGGCGGGGCAGGGGGGGAGCTGACTTCTCGCTCTCGACCCAGAAGAGCCTCCGATGGATTAATCTAATTCACCACGTTCCCATGATGAGAGTGTTTTCATTGAACTAAAAGCCCATATCCGGGGCTAAAATGAGGTACGAGCGGCCATCTCATACATTGGGAAACGGGGTGTGTAGGAAAACTTTGATTTCGAGCCCTCAAATAGGATATGTATGAACTGACCCTATGATGTCCTGGTTGTGGAGATTACTGGTTTGAGCGTGTATTTGATACCCCAAGTGAAAAAACCGCGTGAAATTTAACCCACTACATACCGATCCCTGTAGATTATGGTTTCACGGTCCTGCTGACATGCGGGTCCGGAGTTCACTAGTCGAAGGCTGTGAATAAAGTTTTGATTTGGGTAACCTGGCAACATTCCTCCCCTCCAGTTTACCTAGGGGATTTATATGAATTAATCGTGCAAGCATATATATCTAACGTTATTGCGACGGAAATATATTCCCTGGGTATGTTTAAGGAGACAAAAGATTACCGGATACTCAATGCCTGGCGAGCGGAAAGAACCGCGAAACCGGTCTTATGCCTCCAGGGGAATTTTGTCCAGCTACTCACGCGCTGATTACTGTAATATATATTCACATACGCCTGAGTTCGGACTATGCACCAAACAAATCAGGACACAACAATCTTTATTTGTAATCTTGGTTTTGTTTGATGTTCAGCTTGTCCTGGCGATTGTCTTGTGCATTGGAAACGACTCTGTTTCTCAGTGTTCACAAGGTGACTCGTGAGTATTTTAGGATAGATGTATCATGCAATGAAATGTCACTTCCTGTTCCTTTACCTATAAAACAAGCTGTATCTATCGCGTCGTTGAAGCATTGTAATCGAAGCCGATCTGTTGGAGTTCATATTGAGCCTCATTTGCTCGCTAGTTTTTCAATTCTATACACCGGATACTCGTTAGTAGCACACTTGCAACGGCGTTGGATTCGTTCGATTTTTGCGCGTGATGCCATTGATTGATTGACGCGTACGAGAGCGCTGTGCACAACAAAGTTCACCAGTAGATATGCATTCATTCAGTTCTTACAATCACTAACCATGCACTTTCGTGCACCGGTTTTGGTTGTCCATTTGGATAAAACAGCAGAAGGATGATTAGAATGTTGAGAGCAGATTCAAGCGGAAGATAGCGCATTTACGTAGACTGACGTTACGAGAATAATGAGTAGATGCATAAGCGCCACTGTTTGCGACA